AATGCATGAGATTAAACCTTAGTGATAAAATCTAAATAATATCCACTTTCTCCATAAGATCTCAAGCTTCTAAACGCTAAATAATTTAAATATAGGTTGAGACAAAAAAGTATGATTATATAAAGGCCTACTTTTATCCTCAAAGTATCCCTGTACACTCATTCTTCGTGACATTTCGAGAGGTTCCTATAATATACACTTAACCTGGGTAGTAAAACCAATTCAGAGATGTAGAAAGCAAAAAATAATATACAGTATTTGAAAAATCTTAATCTGTGCTTTATATCCCATAGAAACAAATGAGTGTTAAAGATCTATTCAGTTGGAAGCGGTGGTTCACGCCTATATACTCCCAGCACTTTGGGAGGCTGAGGCAAGTGGGTCACCTGAGGTCAGGAGTTCAAGACCAGCCTGGCCAACATGGTAAAACCCTGTCTCTACTAAAAATACAACAATTAGCGGGCGTGGTGGCACATGCCTGTAATCCCAGCTACTCAGGAGGCTGAGGCAGGAGAACTGCTTGAACCCAGGAGGCAGAGGCTGTCGTGAGCTGAGATCGTGTAACTGCATTCAAGCCTGGGGAACAGAGCAAGAATACGTCTCAAAAAAAAATAAAAATAAAAATAAAAAATCTACCATTTAAAATTAGTGACTGGCCAGATGCAGTGGCTCACACCTGTAATCCCAAGACTTTGGGAGAAGGAGGCAGGAGGATCATTTGAGGCCAGGAGTTCAAGACCAGCCTGGGTAACATGTCAAGACCCCATCTCTACAATAAAAAAAATTTTTAATAGGCCATGTGTGCGAACACCTATAGTCCTAGCTACTCAGGAGGCTGAGACAGGAAAATCAATTGAGCCCAGGAGTTGAAGAATGTGGTGAACTATGATCACGCCACTGCCCTCCAGTCTGCCACTGCAATTCAGTCTGGGTGACAGAATGAGGCTCTCTCTCTCTCTCTCTCTTTTTTTTTTTTTAAAACTAGTAATCCATTGAAGACATCCTTTACAATATCTTCACAGATCCTAAGCTTTTAAGATGCAACTAAGCACAAAGGATCTCTGCAAGCGGGTGAGGATAATGGTTTGTCATCACCAACAAAGGATGTTATTGCAGTTGTTTTTACCAAGAAAGTAAAAGACCAGGTGCAGTGGCTTATGCCTATAATCCCAGCACTTTAGGAGGCCAAAGCAGGAGGATCACTTGAGCCCGGGAGGTTGAGGGTGCAGTGAGCTGTGATCATGCTACTGGCAACCTGGATGACAAAGCAATACCCTGTCTCAAAAAAAAAAAAAATCAGGAAACAAAACAAAGGAAAAGAAAAACTCAAATCTCATCTGGGAACCTAATCACAGTACTCTTTTTCTTTTTTAAAGAGACAGAGTCTTGCTCTGTCGCCCAGGCTGTAATGTAATGCACGTAGTTCACTGCAGCCTTAAACCCCTGGCCTCAAGTGATCCTCCTACCTCAGGCTCTCAAAGTACTGGGATTACAGGTGTGAGCCACCTTGTCCACCCAGTACCCTACTTCTGATTCTTCAATTTAAGTATACCTGAAGAACAGGCAACATTTAACAAGTACCCATTTAGAGAAAAAGCTGTTTGGAGAAGGCAGCCAACTCAGTTAGCTTCAAATCCATCACCAAAAAGAAAAGAAACCACTGAGAATGTCAAAGACAGTCTCCTTACCAAAGAGTCAAACATCCACTGGACCTGGCAGGATGCAAAGGCACAGCCTCCACGCAACTAAAAGGGCACCTCACACGAAGCAGCTATGCTCTGGGTGCCATAGGAATCTTCCAAACTGTGTGTGGCCTTTACAGATCTTTCATAACATACTTAGCTTTCAGAGACAGCACACCTTTTTCACATTTCACAGAGGTTTTCAGATTCATTCAAAAACTATCAGCCTCCATAAATACATAGTTCTTGCCCAAGCACTTTAAGAACTGTTCTGTAAATAAGCCCTTAGCAATCTCCTTTAACATATTCTTTCAGACTCAAGAAAGGAGGTTTATTAGTCCGTTCTCACACTGCTATAAAGAACTGCCTGAGACTGGTTAATTTATAAAGGACAGAGGTTTAATTGACTCCCAGTTCCACAGGGCTAGGAAGGCCTCAGGAAACTCACAATTATGGTGGAAGGGGAGGCAAAGACATCCTTCTCACATGGCAGCAAGAGAGAGAAGTGCTGAGAAAAGGCAGAAAGGCCTGTTGGAAAACCATCAGATCTCCTGAGAATGAACTCACTATCACAAGAACACGATGGGGGAAACTGCCCCATGATTCAATTATCTCCACCTGGTCCTGCCTTTGTCACATGGGGATTATTACAATTCAAGGTGACATTGGGGTGAGTATATAGAGCCAAACCATATCAGTAGGACTTCCTAGAATACTATAAAAGGTACAAGATGATGTACAAAATTTCCCAAAAATGTTTTCTCAGTTTTTTACTTTAAATAGAGATGAGTTCTCTCTATGCTGCCCAGGCTGGAGTGCAGGGCCATTCACCACAATCATAGAGTACTGCAGTCTTGACCTCCTGTGCTCAAGAGATCCTCCCACTTCAGCCTCCCAAGTAGCTGAGACTACAAGCACATGCCACTGTGCCCATATCCAAGACTGTTTTTGGTTTGTTGGTTGATCTGCATTTTTAGGGAGATATTCAGCAGAAACAGGGTGCCACAGTCCCATAAACAGGAAAAAAAGCAGGTGTTTTCCACGTTAAAGAGGTTTCCTTAACTGCAGGGATTCTAGGAGTCACCAATTCTGACTCACTCATGAGGGAGACCGTACATGTAGCGTTTTCCACATGTATTTAACTACTATTTTTGGTGAAATGTCCACACTGACACCAGAGTAACATTCCACATTATAAATGCTGAGAAAGGTTAGCACTTAATATTGCACAAGGCAGCTTGCCTTTGGACAATGATCTGAACTGCATTAACACATTAAAATGTTATCCAGAGAAAAGACCATAAATCAATCTTTTACTATAATGAAGTTATCATAATGCAATCTACATCTAAAAGAGTTAACACATTGTGTTCCTTTCCTATGATTTAGAACTACATAGGCCCCAAACAAGTAATCTGTGGTAACTCTATGAGAGACTCTTCAGTCGCTAAGAAATTCTTGCTGCCCAATAGCTAAGTCTAAATCAAAGATAAATAAAGACAGTACTGTAACCTACATATACATCATTTAATCCCTACAGCAGAGTTCTAACTGCTTTAAAACCTCCACTATGATAACTTAATATCACACAATTACCTTCTCAGTTAATCTTCAACCAAGAAACTATAGTTGTGAACACAAATTTGTCTGTATTAAGTTCTAACACTGACTTTTTTTTTTGGAGACAGGGTTAGTGCTGGGATTACAGTCATGAGACACTGCGCCCAGCCCCACTGACATCTTTTGAAATTCAAAAAACTCCTATGTAGGAGAATCTGGAACTTGATGTGAAGTTCAGAACAGTGACAGCATTCCTCAGCAGAATGACTGTTCCAGATTATGGACCTAACACAGTGAAGTATTTTAATCTCTTTCTCAGAATAACATAATAAGGGGCAGCTTTAATCTGCTAATTACATCTCATACGAAATTTATGTCACTCTTCAACAATAAAAGTAACTCAAACAAAATGATTTCGCCTAGGTTTTACTGGCTTCTGTAAGAAAAGTATCTTCCTTTTCTGAGACAGGGTCTTGCTCTGTCGCCCAGGCTAGAATGCGGTGGCACAATCATGGCTCGCTACAGCCTTGACCTCTGGACTCAAGTGATCCTCCTGCCTCAGCCTCCTAAGTAACTGGGACCACAGGTGTGTGCAACCATGCCCAACTAACTTTTAAAAACTTTTTGTAGAGGTGGGGGATCTCACTATGTTGCCCAGGCTGGTCTTGAGATCCTGGGTTCAAGCAATCCTTCTGTCTCCGCCTCCGAAAGCAGTGAGATTACACTGTGCCCAGCGTAAGAAAGACACCTTAATACACACAATACATCAAATGAAAAAGAAAGGATTTGCTAATGTCCAACAGGTTTTGACTCACTTGTTTCAATGATCTCATCTGAAAGCTGGGTCTATCTTTTTTCGAGCAAAGTTATAAGGCACAATACACTAGCGTGACCATAATACATTTTCTGGAAAACCAAGCAGGTTTGATGACTTCTACTATTGTTGATTAGAGAGCTTAAGTTAGTAAGAGCAATAGACCCCTGATTTGAAGACTTTTTTTTTTTTGGAGACAGATTCTCATTCTGTTGCCCAGGCTGGAGTGTAGTGGTGCAATTTTGGCTCACTACAATCTCCACCTTCTGGGTTCCACCAAGCAATTCTCCTGTCTCAGCCTCCTGAGCAGCTGGGATTACAGGCACATGCCACCAAGCCTGGCTAATTTTTGTATTTTTAGTAGAGACAGGGTTTCACCAAGTTGGTGAGGCTGGTCTCGAACTCCGGACCTCAGATGATTCACCTGCCTTGGCCCCCGCTAAAGTGCTGAAATTGCAGGCAGGAGCCACCATGCCCAGCCTAAAGGCCATTTTTAAAAAGTACCTCTCTAGAGTCTGGTTAATCCTGTGCCAAAGCAAAATTTTCTGTTTCCAAGAATCTTAAGGTTTACTTGTCTGCACCAAATAGTCAATTCTGCAGGGTCACCACAGTCTAATTTATGATTGAAGATTAAAAAGCAAGGGTGATTTCAAAAGAAAAAATACTAAGCAGATAGTCAAGTTAGAGAACAAGCAGCATAGGAAAATAAAGAAAGAACTCATGAATGCATAAACCAGGGCACAAGACCAAATTAAGGCAGACACAAGCAAGAAGTGAATAAATCCGACTGACCAAAAGTGGGTCACATGTTTACCAAATTAAGTTTCCTATTCCTCTGGATTCCAAGCCTTCCTTAAAGAGCAGAAAGCATATTTATTTCATCATAATGCTAAGATCATTCCCTACTACAAACACTGGCAAGTCCCAAACGTAATGCTGCTCACCTCCTGGTCTGTAGACAACATCATCTTCAGTGATGTAGGATGTTATCTCGCCAGTATCTGTCCTTTCGTAACGAGACTTTTTTTTTGGTGGTTTCTTCTTGTTCTTCTTCGTGGACTCCTCTGCAGTGGCACTATTGTTGTCATTGTCCTCATCTTCACTGTGATCACTCTCGGCATAATTTTTGGCGCCTCCTTCCAAGGTACAGCTCCGCCGTGGCCTTGAATTCTCACTCTCTCTCGCTTTGTCTCTTTTCTCTCTCTCTCGGTCCCGGTCTCGGTCCCGGTCCTTCTCTTTGTCTTTGTCTTTGTCTTTGTCCGCTGTCATGATTCGCCACGTGCCTTCTTCTGTCCTCTCACGGCTAGGCCTCCGTGAAAGGTAGACAGTAAGCCTGGGCTTCAGTCTTCTGAATTTCTCACTCAATTCCAGGGAAAATCCAACCACTCCAACAACCCCAACGTTTCAAAAATGCTAGAAGAAAAAAAAAAGATTTTACATTAACGCCTTTTCATATTTCTTTCCTAAAATAGTGTTTTGTTAAATGAATCTCTTACTTATGCATGCTTTACACCTAAAAACTTCACACGAGCCACAGGAGAAAAATTAAGATAAGTGTTAAAATTTTAAAAATACAGCTGGGCGCGGTGGCTCAAGCCTGTAATCCCAGCACTTTGGGAGGCCGAGGCAGGTGGATCACGAGGTCAAGAGATCGAGACCATCCTGGTCAACATGGTGAAACCCTGTCTCTACTAAAACTACAAAAAATTAGCTGGGCATGGTGGTGCGTGCCTGTAATTCCAGCTACTCAGGAGGCTGAGGCAGGATAATTGCCTGAACCCAGGAGGCGGAGGTTGCGGTGAGCCGAGATCACGCCATTGCACTCCAGCCTGGGTAACAAGAGCGAAACTCTATCTCAAAAAAAAAAAATTTTTTTTAAATACAGTTTTCGGTCTCAGCTAGCAAATGGTTTGGGGTTTTCTACCATATCAATAATAAAAACTGTCTGAATGCGTAAGAGTAAACTATACTGCCTCTACCCTACATGTTTTCTCCTTTTTAAAGAAAAACCAAAGCAATATACCCTGGTAGACAACATATAATGAGTATTATTATACAAAAGGAGCTTCATAACTCATAATATTAATTTAAAGAGGAACAAATCCATAGTAAAAATTATTTCCAGGCCAGGCACTGTGGCTCATGCCTATAATCCCAGCACTTTGGGAGGCCAAGGTGGAAGGAATGCTTGAAGCCAGGAGTCAAGACCAGCCTTGACAACAAAGCAAGATCCCATCTCCACCATAAAACAAAATATTTCTACTTGAAAAAACAGTAATAGTTTGCAGAGCTGTCAAAAATGTCTCAGGATATCACATAGAGCACTATACTCTGAAGGCATTTTCTGGCTACTTCTACAAACTCCCAGGCTCCCTTCAAGAATAAAAAATATTTAACTCAAATGAAAATGAGAGCTTCAAAGCAAGATTTTTCCACCATCAGATACATTTTATACATCTTTTCATCCTATCATTTCAGTTATGTTCCAAGGAAAATGATTTCTCTAAAGATGTTTTATTGGCTGGGCGTGGTGGCTCACACCAGTAGTCCCAGCACTGTGGGAGTCCAAGGCGGGTGGATCACGTAAGGTCAGATGTTCAAGACCAGCCTAGCCAGCATGATGAAACCGCATCTCCACTAAACATACAAAAAAGTAGGTGGGGATGATGGTGCACACCTATAGTCCCAGCTACTTGGGAGGTTGAGGCAGGAGAATCGTTTGAACCTAGGAGACAGAGGTTGCAGTGAGTCGAGATCATGCCACTGCACTCCAGCCTGAGCAGCAGAGAAAGACTCCGCCCCAAAAAAAGAAAATGTATTATCTCTGCCTTAACAAACCATAACAGCTTCCAGAAATAACCTTCCATCTTTAGGGAATATTAGGTGTTTTTTACAGTCTTCCAAATTTCTACTATAAGTATCATCCCTAATAAAGTGCTCCTCAAAGCTAAACCCAACAAGAAAAGTCTGAGGTTTTTTCCCACAGTAGACTGCCTGTAAGCTTGAAGAAAAAAAAAAAAAGAAAAAAAAGAAACGTCTGAGGTTTTTAAGAGTTTACAATGGGAGACTAGGCGCCGTGGCTCACGCCTGTAATCCTAGCACTTTGGGAGGCTGAGGTGGGTGGATCACCTGAGGTCAGGAGTTCAAGACCAGCCTGGCCATCATGGTGAAACCCCACCTTTATTTAAAAAATTTTTTAAAAACTAAAAAAAAAAAGAGTTTGCAATGGGAAAAGTGAATCCCAAACTCCAACCCAACACAGTTCTTATAGAAATTTTATAGCAGAAAAAAAGTTTTTCTTTATAAGTCAGTTTTGGAATAGACCTAATAATAAATTTATAAATAAATAATTTATCTTTTGTGTTTTTTTGTGATCTTCCCTAATATCCTATCTCACTTATTCAACGAATCTTTACTAAATACCATGCGCCAGGTGTTCAGAACTAAAACCACAATGGGGGAGAAAACTCATGGTCCTTGTTCTCAATGCTCAAATGAAACAAAAGAGGGCAACTGGTCAGTCCTAGAAGCTTCTGTTTCTCATGAAGCTAGGGCAAGAAAGGAAACAGTGCATGTAAACAAAGCAAAAGATTGGTCCTCTTAACAACAACCACAAACAAATCAGTCTGCAGTTACATGCTTCAGATGCAGAAAAAACTCTCTTTGGTTATGCTAAAACCGTAACAATTATGGTATATTCTCTGCAGAGCTCTTAGGTCAAACCTCATACCAGAAAAGACCTCCTCACAATCATCTCAAATATTCTTAGACATTCAGCAAAATAGGAGGTATTAACAGCCTTTGGGAGATAGGTGATGAAGGAGCAATCATGTGTCTATAAGCTGAATTAGAAGGAAAGCATGTAGCATAAAACTAGATTACTTCCTTCTATGTAAGACACATGCTTTCAAATAGGATTTCCATTTTCTAAACATATTTCAAGAAAAGGAAAAATTCTTCTACGCCTATGAAAGTTTTGCCCAGATGAATCATCTGCTACATGGATATTCATAAACTCCCAAGTCCCAGCAGGCTACTAGTACTAGCAACTGAAAATACAGAGACCTACTACTTTCTCTATGAGTCTTAAGTTTAGAGCAGGAATGAGCCAATCAGGCAAGAGAGAAAACTATCAGCTAACACTGTTGTTAAAACATTCCTCTTTGACCCCGAAAACCTATCAAGGTCTACTGGGAATCCAAAAAGAATGAAAAGCTTGGGCTGAAAACTTCCCTACTACAACCGCAGTTTCAGACAGAAACACTTCTCAGTTTAAGAAAAAAATTAATTCTCCCTGGGATAAACAAGATAACTGCTCCAGAAAATTATGTAGAAAACATTTTTTCAGTACTCAAAGAAAAAAAAAATACTAAGTCCAAATTGTACATTCAACACCACTCACTACAAAATCATATACTGTTTCTATTTACAAAGAAAATAGAGTTGTTTCTGCCAAAGTGAGCAAGTAAAAAAAAATCAAGAAAAAATAAAGATGTCTATATTTATAAAATCAATGTTTTGAGTTATCTGAAAGTTGGCTCTATTTATATATTACATTATCTGCATGTTATATTACTATTAAATTATCAGAATTAATACTACATCATTTATATATTAATGTCATATATTTATATATCTAACTTTCAGGTAAGTATGAACATTAATAATCCAAGCAAAAGTCAATCCAATTACCATTTACGTTTGGCTCTAAAATACAGCTCAATGGGAATATATTTTTTCCTCTACGTTTAACATACAAATCATAATTCTTCTGCGCCTTAATGTACAGTAATCAACACATACCACGATGTGACAACTGAAGAAAGGGACCCAGAGAGGAACCAGATGGCACTGAGAAGGAGAGTTGTCACTTCAATTTGCTAGAAATGATCTACAAAGTAGATGATACAACAGCAGCGTCTTTATTAGAGCAATATGAGGTTTACAGAGCAGGTCCCTCATTTGATTCTTTCAACTCATGAAGTGAACTGGACAGAAGTTGTCATCCTCACTTTACAGTCTACAAAACTCAGAAGAGATCATCTGCACAAGGCCACGCAGCCAGTGAGCACAAAGCAGGATTCCAGCACAGCTCTCACAAAGCTCAACCCTATCTGACCTGCACAGGAACTCCTGCTGCGTGTGCTGCCAGGGTCTCCAACTCTTCTTCACAGGCACCAACTTCTCCTCTACTCACTCATGCTGATGATGAACACAGACAGATTTAAGAAACACACTCACTCTGCCCCCAAAGCTATTTTTCTCCAGTAAGAAAGCCAAAAACATTGGAAATGTCTGTGTCAATCACTGCCCAACTCAGTGAAACAGGAAACACATTATAACATACTTTTAAAAAAAAAAAGGAAGAAAATCTAATCTAGACTACATTTCAGATTTACAACAAGCTTCATCTACTCAGTGAACAAATGTCAACTGAACGCCTACTATGTGCTACTTACTGCTCTGGGTGTTGGTAAATAGCAGAAAACCCAATACAAAAGCCCCTGCCTTCATCCTGAGCTTATGTGCTCAGCAGTGGAGACAGATCATCAACAAAAGGCACCATACCTAATAAGAGGAGATCTTCCATAGAAAATTTAAAGAGGACAGACAGTGTGGCAGGACTGCAATTTTAAACAGGATGGTCAGGGAAGGCCTCTCTGAGGGGACTTTGACCCTGAGTAGGAGTATTAGAAAGGAGGCCAAGGACACATGAAGGGAGGTGATTCCTTGAGAGGGGAAAGAAGTGCCAAGGTCCAGAAGCAGGAATGAGCCAGGCACACTCAAGACGTACTCAACGAGTAGCACAAGAAGGGGGAGAGAGGTCAGAGTTAAGTTCAGAGGTGAAGGGGCAGAGGGAGGAAGACCTGGATTTTGGCAGGCCATGTGGGTCAGGGAAAGGACTCTGGCTTTTACTCAAGTGAAATGAAGTTACTCGAATGACACTTCAGCAGGGATGTGAGTTGCAAAGAAAGGCATGATCTGACTTCTGTTTACAGGAGATCACTGGCCACTGAGAAAAAACTCAAGGGATGCAGGGGGCTGGATCACCCAGGGAAAATGAGCGGCAGCTGGGAAGCAATAGGGTCATAGCAGCAGAAAAGGGGAAAAGTCTCGTGTTTTGTATGTTTTAAAGATAAGAGTCAAATAAGATGTGCTGATAAACTTGTGAGGTGAGGTGTGAAACAAAAGGGGACAAAAGAAAAAAGGAACCTGGCCTGGATGATGAAGCTGCTATTTGAGTTTCATGGGGAGACCAGAAGCTTGGGTTTGAATGTGTTAAGCTTGAGAAGCCTAGAAAATCACATAGTCTAAGTTGGCAGAGATCCAGGCTGGAGATAATAATTTCATTTTTAAAGCCATGAGACTGAGTGATATCACCCAGAAGTGAAAACAATTTTTTGACAAAAATT